TGTAATAATTTAAATTTTAAAAACTAAAAAAACAAATGAAAATAAAAAATAATAAAATATTTAAATAAATTGAAATACATTTTAATCTAACATAGAGGGAATAGAAGAAGGAAAAGGCAGGCCCACTGCAAGCCTGCATGCGCGCACAAAACCCAACGTATCTTTGCATTATAATAAGTATTATTAATGTCATGATTTACCTCACCAATAAAATCTCTGAATTTTTTAATTTTTTAAATTTTTTTTAAATAAACATCTTCAACATTTAATCTTTTTAAATGCCCAATTTTACTTTTTTTTTTTTTTTTATAATTATTATTTTACTAGTGATTTAAATTTGTAAATATATTATTCACGTTTAATAATTGTTTAATTGTGACACTCGAGTAAATGAGGAATACACGAACGAATCGAGACTACATTTAAATGAGAACGATGCCGAAAATAGAATGATTAAGAAATACTTAAAGAAAAAGAAAGTTATTACATACACTTGACAATATGCACATTTCTTTTGATAACTCAATCATAAGAACTACCTTTTAAAATTTTTATTGGAATGCATGTGACTAAAAATGGAGAAACGTGTTTGTGTTGTAAGAGAATATTGATATCATTAAGTGTAATTTAAATTAAATGGTAGTATCTAATCTTCCAAACATGTTATTACGGTAGCAAAATGGATGTTTTATTGAACTTTTTCACGATGAATACAATAGACTCAAATTAGAGAGAGCAGTTGTGCTATTATCTGCTTTGACACGTTACGTATGATCATTAGTGTCACGATTTTAAAATGCGTTCCGTAGAAAAAGATTTTCATACCTTTTAAAAAGAATGTTTATTGTGAGATCCACCTATGTTGGAGATGTATGAGTATGTGAAAACCTCTTCCTTCGTGAGGTTGACACGTAATCACCTAAAGCAGGTAATATCCGACAAAAATCTAAACAATTGGAGGTTGATCGTAAACCAAAATCATTCTGCGACTGGTCCCAGCTTGGCTGACGGTGATAATGTACGGCGGCGGCGGCGGCGGCGACGTCGCTTTGTCCACCGCTTGTTTGGCAGCTACATGGTTTCTGGAGCGATTTTTTTTAGTGGACGTAGAGGAAAGTACGCCGCCGCATTCGGTATCGCCACCGCCCTGCTTCTCTCTATCCTAGCTTCTATCACCGCCGCATGGCTCGAATTCTGGAGGCTTGTGTTTGTGTTTGTCTTAAGTTTCTATTTTTTTTTTGTAAATAAAATGTATAATTAATTATTACTATTTATTTATAATTAAAATTTTGTAAATTAAGAAAAATAAAGCAATGTCCTAATCTAACCCGAAGCTACAAAATGCAACTATTCTAACACAAGATTCCATGACCTTTATCGTGATGCCACCGTCATTCATACAAGGGTATCTTACCTTTACCTAAAATGTAAGAGTAGCACATGACTCAATTAATAATCTTACTCTTGGAGCTAGGAAATGCAAACACATGCAACATGACAAGATCTATCCTTTTAACATAGCATATCATGGCCTTCAGCAGCTTTTTATTTTAGGTAAAATTGGATGTGTAGTACTTCTCTATAGGTGAACTACGTGTGCGAGCATGAGTCCACTAGATAGGCTCGCGCACCCCTAGGTCTGGCTCGTGAGTCGAGCACTCACTTACGGGCTCAATGCCGAACATGATAGAGAGAAATAAACGTCACTACATCATGGTAAACATGATGTCATAAATCACATATCATACTGTACGCGTTCGTACACATCATAGTGGTGAAGTATCCCAAATGCACGTGAACACTCAATTATGCTTGACATCCGCACAACATTCCATCCTCAACCTATAAAAGAAATCCTATTAAGTTTGAAGAACATTTTGTATGATATAAATTGTTAAAAAAATAAATTAGAGCTTTAAGACACAAATTATTTTTTAACCTTCAAAAATTTTAAGGCTATATTTTTTAATATTGGATTTTTTTTGTTTTAAATTTTTTTAAATTAAGCTTATAAACTTATTTTTATTACAAGTTTTTTTTTAATTAGACTTATTTTTATTTTTAGAAATTAAAACATTTTTAAGAAAAAAGAAATTTTTAGATGGTATATTTTAAAACCTCAAACTAATTAAAATGTATCAATTTAAATTTAAAATTTTTATAAGTGAATCAAATTGATTTTTTAGTTAAAAAAATAATATTGAATTTGTGGTGTAATTTGGTAAAGATGAAAATTAAAAATGGATTTTATTATTTTTATTAAATTAAATATCAAAGATTTTCCCCCATGAGAAACCTCAACCACAAATCTCTGACACAAAATCAAGTGAAACGACGACGCATTGACCCCACCGTTCCAGTACGACAGGATAAGGCAGAGATAAGGCCAGGACGCACACAAGCCGTCAGATGCGTTCATCCAATAATCCAACGGATACAAAACCACGCAACAGATTATGTGGCTCTTGCCGATCACAAGCCCCCTCTCTCAGCCACATAACAACCCAACCAGAATCCCAAATCCCATCTCACACTCTTCAATTCCCCTCTCAACTCATCGTCGCAATGGCCACCGCCACCGCCGCCGCAACCTCCTCCTTCATCGGAACACGCCTCGTCGACGTGCGGCCGAGTTCCGCCCGAGTCCAAGCCCGATTCGGATTCGGTAAGAAAAAAGCTCCAGCAAAGAAATCGCCGTCATCGAAGACGATATCCGACCGTCCGCTGTGGTTTCCGGGAGCCAAGGCGCCGGAATGGCTGGACGGAAGCTTGGTCGGCGACTACGGATTCGATCCGTTCGGGCTGGGGAAACCAGCAGAGTATTTGCAGTACGATTTGGACTCGTTGGACCAGAACTTGGCGAAGAATGTGGCGGGAGATATAATCGGGACGAGATTTGAGAGCGCCGACGTGAAATCGACGCCGTTTCAGCCGTACTCGGAGGTTTTTGGATTGCAGAGATTCCGTGAGTGCGAGCTGATCCATGGAAGATGGGCGATGTTGGCCACACTCGGCGCTCTCGCCGTTGAAGGCCTCACTGGTATCACTTGGCAAGACGCCGGAAAGGTGAGTTTCATTTTTTCTTTTTTCTTTTTTTTTTCCCATTTTTTCTTTCAATTAGTAATATAATATTAATTTAGTCCTTTCAATTTTGATTAATTTTTATTTTATATAGAATAAATATATGACTGGTTTAATTTTTTTAAAAGCTTTTATTTATCCTTTTTTTTTATAACAGTGAATTATTTAAAAAAAAAAATTAAGAGAAATTAGTCTCTATTCCTTTATATTTAGTTGGCCATTCACTTGATTTAAAGAAAAAAAAATATTTTTTATTGTATATATTATTCGAATTAACCATTTATTCTAATTTAATTTTATATTTTCAATTTTGTAATAATTTAATTGGCCAAATTTATCTCGACAGGATTAAATTGTTACAAATTTAAAAATATAATAATAATTTATCGTGAAATTTAGAGACTAAAAATTATAATTAACTCACATTTAGGTACTAATTTAATTTTATGTCCCATAGTTTCCTAAATTAAAAAACGCATTAAAAAGTATTTTCCCGTAATAATTTAATTTTTATTGTAAAAATTGATTTATAAATCACTAAATGTGTATAAATTTTAAAATTTAAGTTCTAAATTGTGGTGAAATTTAGAGATTAAAAATTGCTGATTTAATTTTATATTCCATAGTTTTCTAAATCTATAAATGTATTAAAAATTTGAAATTGTAATAAAAATTATTTAAAATTTTATATAAAAATTGCAGGTAGAATTAGTGGAAGGTTCATCGTACCTTGGGCAGCCGCTGCCCTTCTCCCTGACCACACTGATCTGGATCGAGGTTCTGGTGATCGGATACATCGAGTTTCAAAGGAACGCCGAGCTGGACCCGGAGAAGAGGCTGTACCCGGGAGGCAAGTTCTTCGACCCCTTGGGCTTAGCCGAGGATCCCGAGAAGAAAGCGGTCCTACAATTGGCGGAGATCAAGCACGCTCGCCTAGCCATGGTTGCCTTCCTAGGCTTCGCGGTTCAGGCTGCTGTCACTGGCAAAGGCCCCCTCAACAACTGGGCCACCCACCTCAGCGACCCACTCCACACCACCATCATTGACAACTTCTCCTCTTGAACTCTTCGAGTTTATGTGTTCATTGTTGTCTTCAAAACTTGACCGAGCTATGTGATCTTGAGTTGTAAGTAAGTACGTTGTTGCTTCGAGATTCGATTCGAGTTTATGCGTCGATTGTTGTCTTACAAACTCGATTTGAGTAGTAATGTGATCGTGAGATGTAACTACTTTGCTTTGAGGTTCGTATGTGAAATTATATATTAATTAATAATGTCGTCTACCATACAAAACAAAAATATTACTAATTTAATTTTGCATTTTGAAAATATATTTTTTTTTTTTAAATTTAAATACAAGGGTAATTTTGAAAATAAAGAAATAACGATTTCCATCCAAAATTAAAGTTTAATCACGGTAAATTACCATGTGGATGTGACGTCTAAGTAAATGAGTAATATATAAATAAACTGTGATCATACAAATATAGTAGTTAATATCGTACCTGACCTACGATTCTGTAGTTAATTATATTTAATTATGATTTTTTAATGGTTGAAAACTATAGTATATAATTATTGGTTCTATTAAATATTAAAATTTAGTTTATATAATGTAAATCTTAAGGAATTTATCGATAGACATATATACTAAATCAAAAAATTAGAGGTTCGAATCTTCACTCCAATATAGTAAATTAAAAAATTAATTATAATAAAAAATTTAATGAACTATGAAACTATTTAGAGCAATTTTTTAATTTCTAAAATATTTTTGGATATAAAAATTTAGAGATTTATTAATTTGAATAATAATAATAAATTATGAATATAAATTCTCGTCGACGGAAATCTGATCACGAAAAATACGCATTGTTTTGGAGGATTAATTCACAAAAGATATCATATAAATAGCTAATTGAATTTCAAGTTCGTGCGTCGTTTTCGACTTCATAGAAACTGGTATTGATCGAATTATTTTTTTCTCGATTACTCGTTGAATCCATTTGTGACCGCCAGCGACGATCATCGGATTCTGATTCCACTTCCTCTTTTTCCTCTGTTTCAGCCTTCCCTGAATTTGCTTTGTAAGGTTGATCATGCCGATCTTTGTCTTGTTATTGTTGTTCTTCTTCAGTAGATCGATTTCTAGTAATTTTTCTTTGTTTTTCCGATTCTTGTATACTTGTTTCTCTTCGAACAGAAGCTGATTGGTAGAGATATTGCTGCAAGGAGAGGAGATGGGAAGGCTACTTTTGACTACTCTGGAAGGAAATTTCTATAGTTGCAAACACTGTAAAACTCATCTCGCCCTTCAGGAAGACATAATTTCAAGGGTATCTAATTCAATTACTCTATTCCACATGCACATTTGAGTAGCACATTTGATCTTTTTGCTGATATTTTTTTGTATTGTGTTGATATTGTTATTGAGTTGTGTTTGATTGAGACTAACCAATGAGTGTTGATGATGAAAGTCCCACATCTCCTAATTTAGGAAATGATCATGGATTTATAATCAAAGAATACTCTCTCCATTGGAGTGAGGCCTTTTGGGGAAGGCCAAAGCAAAGCCATGAGAGCTTATGCTCAAAGTGAACAATATCATACCATTGTGGAGAGTCATGTTCATCTAACATGGCATCAGAGCCATGCCCTAAACTTAGTCGTGCCAATAGATTGGTAAATCCTTAAAAATGTCGAACAAAGGACTCCAAAGGAAAAAGGAGTCGAGCTTCGATTAAGGGGAGACGTACTTTGTTCGAGGGGAGGTGTTGGATGATGAAAGTCTCACATCTCCTAATTTGGGAAATGATCATGGGTTTATAATCAAAGTATACTCTCTAGTGAGGCCTTTTGGGGAAGCCCAAAGCACAAAGCCATGAGAGCTTATGCTCAAAGTGGACAATATCATACCATTGTGGAGAGTCATGTTCATCTTACAGTGAGTAACGGTTTGTTTCGAGTGTTTATTTTGGTAAGAGGAAATCGGTATCTATAGGAAAAAGAGTCTTTAATGCTCTAAAAGATTGATTCAATGCTTTGGACCACGTATCCGTTTTGAGAATTTTGATTCCTCGCTTTTGAATGCTCCGTATACCTTTTTAGCTTACATTTATAAACTAGGAACTATGAGAAAATTGTTCTTCGTTTAATCCTTAATCCTGTCTTAGTCTTTTGCTTGTAGTGCTTAATTTGCTGCCTGGATTGTTCTGTTTCTTTGTTCAATTAGTTCTGCATTCATCGAGTGATTTAGAACATCACAGATTTGCCTTGTACATTTAACGATAGGATTTGTTGCGCATATGGTGATCGATTTTATCATACTTATCAGAAGTATTAGATGCATGAATAGTGCTAATAGTGTTGAGGATTGTTTGGAGGGGGTCCCACATGAGCTAATCAAGGGGTTGATCATGAGTTTATAAGTAAGGAATACATCAGTTTATAAGTAAGGAATACATCTCTATTGGTATGAGGCTTTCGGAGAAACTAAAAGCAAAGCCATGAAAGTTTATGTTCAGAGTGGACAATATCATACTATTGTGGAGAGTTGAGATTTCTAACAAATAGGGATTCTAATTGCATTCTCATTCCAGTATTCGTACGACTGCCCTTTACAATACTCCCTTTTCCTGAAGATGACTCCATCCACCCATATAATTTCTTGTAGATTCCAAGTAATTTTCGTTATGTGAGTGATAAGAATTTTAGTCTTTTTTCTATTGAATATGTTTGGTCGTTTGTGGCTTTTTCTAATTCACATTCATCAGAATCTTTATGTGGCTGCTGATGTGCTTTTAGAACTTGTTTTTATTGTATAAAATGGTTTGCTGATTTCAGCATTGGTATCTTTATGTCGAGCACTAGATTGCTCCTTATTTTGAGATGCTAAAGGACCTACCTATATCAGTGAATCCCACACTGCATTCATGATAGATGCTATGCTTTTTCAATCTCATAACTACTTCATAATATAACAACAAAATTCGATCCCGAGAACTTTTACTTTTATATTTTGTAGCGGCCCAAGCAAAGTACTAGCAGATATTGTCCTCTTTGGGCTTTCCCTTTCGGGCTTCCCCTCGAGGTTTTTAAAACGTGTTTACTATGGAGAGGTTTTCACACACTTATAAATAATGATCTGTTCCCCTCTCCAACCGATTTGGGATCTCACAATCCACCTCCCTTGAGACCAGTGTACTCGCTGGCACTCGTTCTCCTCACTAATCGACGTGGGATCTCACATATTTGCATCCCTAATCTTTTTTTTACACTTATGCATATTATAGTATCAGAAAGATACATGGATATACTAACAGAATTCTGCTTTGCTTTTGTTACAGACTTTTCATTGCAGGCATGGGAAGGCGTACTTGTTTAATAACATGTGAGCTTACTCTTTGGTGTTCAATTTTTTTCTCTATGAAAACTAGGATTTTCATTTTAAAAGAAGTATAACATTTGGTATCTTGATTCACTGGAATCCTGGACGTTTATATAATAGTCTTATTTCCAAGTGCAGAACAAAATGTTTAATGTTTATGGTAGATCAGGTGCTTAAGCTGGAACGAGAATATACCGCTGCTTTTGTTCATCGAATTATTTGCCTACTTCTTCGGATGCGTACTTCGTTTTCTATGATTCATGCTTCTGTTGTTCCGTTGTCCAGTTCTCATTTAAGCCTTTCCTGTTGGAATGGGATTCTGGTCTTTCTTAGTAGTTTATTGTAAACTCCCGACATGCTATGAGCTAATTAACAGTATTAATTCATTGTCGATCGTAAAAGCACGATCTGTAGAACAAAAAAATGATGCTGGTATCTCTGTCTGTGCTTCACCCATTATATTTTGTTTCTGGATTCTTGTGGATGATACTCACATAGGAATTAGATTGGATAGTTCATAGGTGCCCTTAAATTGTTGCATACAGGATATTGTCATACTCATTAAACCTTCCACCAACATTTTGATTTCTATAATGCATCGCAGTGTCAATGTCACAGTTGGAGAACTAGAAAAGCGGATGTTGATCACAGGATTGCACACTGTTGTTGACATATTTTGTGTTGGTTGTGGCTCAATTCTTGGTTGGAAATATGTAAGATCTTCTGTTTCTTTCTTGCTTTCTTTTTTTACCTTTTGGTTTTCAAACCTTTTACTGATACCTCTATCGATTCCAGGAGATTGCACATGACAAATCCCAAAAGTACAAGGAAGGGAAATATATCCTTGAAATGTGAGGCCACTATACTTGGTAGCGTTTTTTAGTTCGAGTTCGGGAGTTCAAACCTCTAATCTCTTTGAGGGATATATGCTTTAAATCAATTGAACTATATCAGTGAGATCCCACATTGATTGGTGATGGGAACAAAACATTCGTTATAAGGATGTGGAAACCTCTTCCTAGTTTCAAAACTTTGAGGAACTTTGAGGGGAAGTCTGAAAGGGGGAGCTCAAACAAGACAATATCTGCTAGCGGTGAGTTTGGGCTATTACAAATGGTATCAGAGCCAGCAAGGACATTGGGTCCCCAAGGGGGATGGATTGTAAAATTCCACCTTGGTTGGAGAGGGGGAACGAAACATTCCTTGTAAGGATGTGGAAACCTCTTTCTAATGGACACATTTTAAAACCTTGAGCGGAAGCTCAAAAGGGAAAGGCCAAAGAGGACAATATATGCTAACCGTGAGCTTGAGCTGATACACTTTGTAGTTTTTATATTGTAAATCTTTGAATCAATGTTGAAACGTTAATGCATCGATTGCGCATCATATATCAAATTTAGAAAACATTATGATCCATCAATCTTTCTGTAAATTATGTGAAGATTTCACCTTTGTATCGCCATGAACACAGTTCTTGACTTCTTTTTGGTCTTTGGGAAAAACTTTGCAGGTTGAAGGTGTTGGGTCCTGATGGAAACAGCTACTTAGCAAGCCATGATCCGCAGCTTGCAGGAAGCGATGGCGACGATGCTTGATCTGCTGTCGAGTTCGGAAGTAGATAAGACCTTCTTTCTCCTTCTCCCATCCCCTTTTTCTTTGTTTCCATCTTATTATTGCCATTTAGCTCTTTCTTAAGCTTTTTGGTACACTGCCACTGCAGTTTTGGCTAGAAGCACAAGAACAACCTTCCTTTTCCAATTCATTGACTTTCAAATTTAAATTAAATGAATAATAATTTTTAGGATGCTGGAATGAACAATGCATGCTCCTTTCTTATTCAACTTTATAGACTTTGGTCTCCGTTCATTTATTATTGCAATTTTTGTAGTAATATTTTGTCGTTCCAAATTTATGACCTCTATAGAAATATCGAAAAATTTGAAATGTTGAGGCGAAGTTTGGCCATAATAAGGGTCCATACCAATCTGTTATGACCCGATTTTCGAGGTTTCGAAACTCGGACTAAAATTTAAACTAAATGAAAGTAAAGAGTACCAACATTAAATACAAAACTAAATCTTATTACAAGATGTACAATTCAAATACAAAAATGGGATCGGGATACCATTACAAATCCAAATGCAAAATACTCGGAGCGACATAAGGGCGAAAAAAAGGAAAGAGAGGGATGGGGTTTCTCTCGCTTTTGGCATAGCGGGCCCCAGCGGGAGGCCCGCACGACGGGCTATTAGCTCAGTGGTAGAGCACACCCCTGATAATTGCGTCGTTGTGCCTGGGCTGTGAGGGCTCTCAGCCACATGGATAGTTCAATGTGCTCATCGCGCCTGACCCTGAGATGTGGATCATCCAAGGCACATTAGCATGGCGTACTTCTCCTATTTGAATCGGAGTTTGAAACCAAACTTCTCCTCAGGAGGATAGATGGGTCGATTCAGGTGAGATCCAATGTAGATCCAACTTTCTATTCACTCGTGGGATTCGGGCGGTCCAGGAGGGACCACTTCGGCTCCTCTCTTCTCGAGAATCCATACATCCCTTATTAGTATATGGACAGCTATCTCTCGAGCATAGGTTAACCTATAAAAACGGATTGACGTTCCAAAACGACTCTTTCTGTGACCGTGCAGCTCTGAAAGTACCCCTTTCCCTTCTCAATTTACTCAAAACTTCCCTATGCTAAGTTAATATATTTGTTTCTGAATAATTGTAAGTTGTAATTAAGAATAAAATAATTATAGTAGGATTATTTAACTTCAAACTTGAAGCATTTTCCCAAATATATTAAATATAAAATATAAAAAGAATTGCAGAGCCAATCATTGAAACTCAAAGCTTCCATAATTCAGGAGTGGGGTCCACGTGGTGGATGAAGGAGGCAAAGACCCAATTTGAAAACCACACGATTCTCGAGGCCCACTTTAGGGCCCATTAATTCAAAAATATTCGGACAAAACATCCACCGTCCGTCCGATCAACAAATTTGCTTCCCCCGAAAAATCCAACGGCCCACGTTTAAATCTTAGAATCATTTCGTTTCCTATTTTTTATTATATTATATTATTAATAACTTCAAATTTTGAAATTCATTCTTAATTTATACAAATCTAATAATCAACTCAACAACACTAATTATCATTCTCAATAAATTCAACCATAATTATATAATATTTATTCCAACGGATAAATTATATGAATTTAGTTAAACATATAAAATATAAATTAAATTAATAAATTTAGTGAAATAATTCAAAATCAGTTTTTTTTTATAATTATTATTTTTAAATTACTTGAACGGCCACATGGGGGGCGAAGCCGTGGAGTGCTGAGTTAGCGAGATACTGCAAAAACCTATGCAAACTCTTCAGCTCTCCATTCCCATTTTCTCGCTCTTCATTGCTCAACGACTGTATATATAATCTTCCGATCGAATCTCCACCGGAGCATCGCCGGCGTCGAGAAATGGTAGTCACTGTTCTTCGATTGCTATGATTCATGTGAAGTAATTAGTCTCTGGTTGTAATTATCTCTCTTGTATTCGACTCGTTGCGTTTTAGTCAGATCTGTTGGTTTTGTCAATATAGAGGAGAGGAGCGAAGTTACTGTGTGATTTTGTTTTTGACCTGAGGTTTTAGCTTGTTCGTCTAAACGTAAGGTATTTGATCAATGCTCAGATTCGGACCTGAGTTTCGGAGAAAGAACCGACGGGATCGTACTTAGCTTGTTCTTAGTAGAATATCTGGAATGTTTACAGACGAGACGGACGCAGAGCTCGCGATGTTGTTCGATATGCGAACGGTTGAGAAGGAAATGGATAGTGAGAATCTGCTGCACAGGAGCTATACGGAGGATCTTGATCCTAATTCAGAAACCGTTTCGTTTTCGAGTTCCGGTCAGACATTTTTCCTTCCCGCCGTTTTAGAAATTTCGAAGTTTAGGTTTCAATCGGCTTTTTAGAATATTTGGCGTTTTGTAATTCGTATATTGCAGAACCTAATAATGATGGTGAATGTTCTCCCATCTCCAAGAATTTTGTTTCACCTGTTCCACCGCGGAAGATCAAAACGGAGGATTTTATGGATTCAGAAAATGAAAAATCTGATTATGACTGGTAAGTAAATTACATTCACTCCGATTTCATGTCTCAGTGATGAATTAGCTTTCCTTTTCCATTTGTTGTAAATGAAATTTAAATACGAAGCATATAATATCCAATTTAGGAGTAGCATTGATTGGTACAGTAGGGTCGAATGTTCTTCATCAATGGATGCCTTTTCAAATAATTTCAAGAATTCATAAAGCATTAGGATATAAACAGTAAAACCTCACTGAGTTTTCTGGTCCTACTCGAACCTAAATAATGCGCCTGTTCTTGTTTTCTTCTTCTACATGTGGTTCTAATACGTCGTCTTCGTCAGCGTTATCATTCCCATTTCTTCTGTTCTTTGGAGAATAAAACAGAGCTCTGTTACCTTTGCCTTTATCATTCACATATAGTGTTCTTCGTACTTCCCTCGAACATTTTGAAAGATTTTCATGGGATAATGGAATGCAGTTGTGGGTATGGTATATATTTGAATTATGATGCTTTTAATTGTTTCGTTGTTATCAAATTAGCTATTCATTGCATTCTCTTCTGTTTCTCAGGCTCCTCACACCACCTGGAACCTCAATCTTTCCATCATTGGAGACGGAATCACAGAAAAATGCAACAAATAGGAGTGATATGCTGAATTCTCGTTCCACTGCTCTGAAACCTAAGGTAAGAACTGTCAAGAAATTTGACAAACCAACTGAATTGCTGCAAAATGAATACTTATCAATGCATGTGGATGGTAGGGAAATCAGATTCCAAAAGACCTTTTGGATAATCAAAACTGTAGAATTTGCAGTTGTTCAATCTCAATTTTCCCAATTTGCTTACCTTACGGCTTTACACTCTTTGGTTGCAGCTAGTGAACATCCAGGAAGAGTCTAACTCGATGAGTAATATAGCTTCCAAGCGTCCTAATTTTCAATCTGGACAACTGAATTCTTCATGTGCTAGCAATAAAAAAGCATCATCAAAGGCTTCTGCAGCTACTGCCTCCAGATCTGCCACACCAACTTCACGGCCAACATTAACTAAAAGTACAAAGCCTTCAAGATCATCCACGCCAACTTCACGAGTGAACGCTAAAGCTTCAGCGCCTCCGGTGCGGTCTTCAACGCCTGCAAAAACTACTGCTCGGTCATCAACACCAACTGAAAGATCCATGGGAACTACAAAGCAAACATCTAGATCAGCAACGCCTAATCGCTGTCCATCAAAGCCAACATGTTCGTCTAGTGTATCACATCCCAATGGTCGATCGTCTTCGACGTCGAAGTTTAATGCTAGAAGTTCTAGTAATCCAAAACCTTCTCGGGGGCCCTTTCCATCCATTAAAACCAGACCTTCAAAGCCCTCTGAGGTGCCAAATTTTTCACTTGATGAAGCTGGGCCAGCTTCAGCCACCAAGGGAAGGCCAGTAGCAGTGAGTAGTGCTAAATCATTATCCGGCAGGACTATGTCTAATGGGAAAACTAGGCAGAAACCAAGCTCTCCTACGAAGCAACTTGGCTCAAACAGTGGTAAAGTATTTCCATTCAAGCAAAGAATACGTTCCTCTGATGATAATGAGGTTAGCCCTGTGGTCATGGGGACAAAGATGGTTGAAAGGGTAGTCAACATGAGAAAGCTTGCCCGTCCAAAGCAAGACGACTACCGCCCGAGCAGCGGTGATCCTACCAGCAAGTCCTCTGCTGATGTCTCTGGCTTCGGAAGAACACTTTCAAACAAATCACTAGATATGGCATTGAGGCACATGGTATGCATCCCCCTCTTTCTTCCATTTCCTTCATATATCCAATATTACGTTAGATAAACATGATCTTTACTAATATGAACCATACTTCCTGCTTAATTTCAATCCAAAAGTAGCCATCCCATTGTTCTTAAGCTTAATCATAGGCAACCAGTACTTGATTACAATGACTCATTCAATCCTGTAATCTGTAATTCAACGTGAACTCTTTTCTTATACAGGATATAACACGAAGCATTTCGAGTAAAGTACGGCCAGTGAATACAAAAACTCAGTCTTCCTCCACGGACAATGGCAATTCAAGGTCTGCAAAAGTTGGAACAATCGGAATTGCAGACTCTCCCCTTTCTACTAGCAGCAATGGCAAGTCTGCACCAAGCGTATGGAGTAGTTCCATTCGTCTAGATGGCAGTGAGACCGAAGATAATGACCTTGCCAAGGAGATGTTATCGTCCTAGGGAGCTCCTCTTCTGGCTAGCTAGCAATGTAAACATTACGAGTGATATGAAAACCTCAGTGAATAGGAGTTGGAACCCTTTGAATATATGAACCCTAATTCGTAATTCGATTTCAACCCGAAGAATTAGGTTAGACATAGATAAGGTCAAAGCTCTCGAAACAAAAAAACAAGTTTCTTGGCCAAAGATTCGAATCTCTATGAAGATAGGATTATCAATCTTACTTGAATTCTCTTGGCATGTAACTCTAAGATATGACTTGCAAATTAGGATCAAGCTCTTTTGGCTAAACTTGAAAGAAAAAGTGCAAAGGCTAAAACTAATTCATCATAATTTGTTCACGGATTGCCTTAAGATCAAAGCTCTTGTGAAAAACAACAAAATATGATGATCAATCGAACTCGAACTTTACGAAGAACAACTGTAGCAGGCATCTTCTCCTTGGCTTTATGAAGAACAACAGTAGTATTGTACTTGACGCGTTCTCGAGAGATCGGTTGGCTTCCTGGGCTTCAGAACCTGAAGAACAACAGTAGTATTGTACTTGATGCGTTCTCGAGAGATCGGTTGGCTACCTGGGCTTCAGAACCTGAAGAACAACAGTAGCAGGCATCTTCTCCTTGTCTTGCTTACCCCCTTTGTTCAATGGTTGGAACCTCATTGGGGATTAGTTCTGCAATTGTCTTCCAATACTTCTTCTCAGCTTCAGCATGGAACTTGTCTCGGTTTGCTAGATATTGCTGTCATATTAAGTTCAAATCTGGTAAGATTTGTGAAGAGTGAATGAGGAATATTATTGTGAGATTCGGCCTTCACGGAGGGGAATAAAACATTTCTTGTAAGGGCGTGGAAACCTTCCCCTAATAGACGTAGTTTAAAACTGTGAGACCGACAGTGATACGTAACGAGCAAAAATGGATAATATTTGCTAGTGGTGAGCTAGGACGGTTACAAATAGTGTTAGAACTAGACCAATGGTATTAGAACTAAACCAATGATATTAGAACTAGACCAATGATATTAGAACTAGACACTAGGTGGTGTGCTAGCAAATATATTGGCCCCCAAGGTGAATGAATAATATTTGCTAGTGGTGAGGTAAGACGGTTACAAATGGTATTAGAATTAGACACTGGGTGGTGTGCTAGCGAATATACTGACCCCCACGGTGAGTAAATCGTGAGATCTCACTCGGTTGAAGAGAGGAATAAAACATTTCTTATAAGTGCTTACAATAAGACTGGCACACCATTCTAAGTCACCACAACATTCATTTCAGATCTCAAAAACTCGTGTTAACAATCTTACCTCTCTCAAAGGAAATTCTTCCTCCGGCTCCACCGCCATCGGGATTAAAGGATCGGGCCGTCCGATTCGCCAAAATCTCCATCAAAGCTCTTCCCGTTCTGCTCCGGTGAGAAACTAGAGATTCCCCCATCGGCCGAGAAATTCGAAGGCGAAGTCGGCAGCAGGTCGTCTCCCTGGTTAACGGCTGGTTGACGAAGATCGGCGACGAGTCGGCGACGGCAGACTCGTCTTCGAAGGTACAAAAGGATTCGAATCATTGAGACAAAAGGCGACGTTCGAATCCGCTGGAGCCGTCATCGAACGGAGGAGGAGGCGTTCCGGCGAAGGTTGACATGGCGTTTGCGTATTCTGTTTCTCCCTCCGGCGACGGTCAACTGTCGATCAATCATTCCGCGTGAGTGTTTCCCTGCAACTTCCTGACCGTTTCCGTTCATCAGTGTAAGAAATGGAAAAGCACTCGAGGGCGTTAATTTCTCTTTTTTATTTTTATTATTATTATTATTTTTTAATTTCAATAATATCTTTAAATTTAAAAATAAAAATAAAAATATATTTTAATTTAAAAATGTCACTAATATCTTTAAATTAAAAAATAAAAATTCAAAATATGGTAACTACCAAAAAAAACTATTTAAGAACATTGATCAAGTCAAAACAAATAGAATTTAATATTTTAAACCTATAAATACTAATTTGCAAGAATGCTTAAACATATTGCCAAACTACAAAAAAAAAAAAAATTAAAAAAAATATATATATATATATATAAAATAAAAAGTTAAAATAAGAGAAATAAAAAAAATCAAAATGGTAATTTTACCTCAATAATTATTATTTTTTTTAAGGACAAAATTGATGGTTAATTTTGTGTGTTGTATAATAAATTTTAAAAACATATATATATATATTTTAATAAATGAATGGTGTAGACACCAAAAGGATTTGGGTTCTAATCTAGTTTAGAGATGAACACGAACATAACTATCAATTAAGACATCCACGTATTCGTTATGACAATAAGTTCACGTCTCTCCCCCATATTAGCTATATATTGAAAAAAAAATGCGAAAATTAAATAAGTACTCTCAAACTTTGTCGTTTGTGTTAAAAAGTATCTTAGAAGTTGAAAATTTGACTCTCGTAAAAATTTTAAAACTATTCTTAAAAAGTACAATAAATTTTCATTTGAGTGATAGTTTTGAAACATCTATAAAAGATTAAAGTTAATATTATAGTTTTAAAAAAATAATTTCCTAGAAGGAATAACACGAGACTTTTTTTCTCTTTATTGTAATTTAAGGAGAAAAATATTTTAGACTAAATTAGTAAAAAAAATACCTATAAACTTTGTATTTTGTTTAAAATTTTTTACTAAGAACCATTCATCAACACTTTATAGATTATCTCCAAACTTATTAATGTTACTTTTGAAATTTCATGTCAAACTTCGTGCTAACTGTAAAGGTATTTTTAAAAATTTTAAAGTGTTAAAACGTGTTTTTTTTTATATTTTTTTATGTATTTTTAAAAAACTTAAGAGTATTATTAATGCAACTTTTGAAAATCTATAGATATTTTTAAATATTTTTGAAAATTTAAAGATATTTTTGACGAACCGTAAATGTATTTAATATATTTTAAAGATATTTCTAAATGTATTTTTATTAATTTAAGATTTTAATTTATTAAGTAAAATAGAATAATTACGGGCCGGGTTGGAGAAGGGAGGCAAGGGTAGTCATTCCCGTAATTTCATACCTTTGCTAACAGGCTATAAATAGGAGCTGGACCATGGCGCCTATAAATACGAACCCATTACTCTTATTTCATTTGTTTGAAACCAAAGGCCTGAGGCCATAAAAGAGAGGAAATTGGGAGAATAGAGAGAGAGAGAGAGAGAGCGGAGGAGAGAGTGGTGGTGGGGCTGAGAGAGAGAGAGAGAGAGAGAGACTGACGAGAAGAGTAATAGGAAGAGGAGAAACAGGATAGAGAGAGAGATAGAGAGACGCCATATTCATTCAACTGCTCTGTCGAATAATTTCTCACACTTTGCCCCTGTTTTCTCTTCCTCTTTCTCTCTTCTCTTTGTGATTTCTTTTCACGTTTTCCATAATTTGTTCCTAATGAGCCGCTTAGGGTTCAAATCGGTGGTCTTTCACGGCGACGTGCGTCTTGGGGAACTCGACGCTATTCCGGCGACAGACCAGAATTTTCAGTTTCCGAATAGCGAGATTAGAATCCACCGCATATCGCCGCCCAGTGAGAGATGCCCTCCCCTTTCAGTTCTTCAGACAATTTCTTCATTTTCTCTCAGGTCTAAGCTACAATCTTCCTTGCCTGTTGAGCAGCCGCACTTGATCCAACTTCACTACTCCTGCTTCCATGAATTGAAGGTCTTAGTCATTTTCTTAATTCTTCTCTTTTCTTTTGGAATGTTTTGTTTTGTTTATGAGAGACAATGTACGTGTTTTTGTGCATGTGTGATATGGATGCTGATGTTCAGCTGTGTTAATTCTTTTAATGATAAAAAATTCACTCGGACTTTGGAGTGTACAAAACGTATTCAAGTGAGACTATATTGTGAAGTTAGTCTGTGATTTGGATCTTGATGTTCTTATCCAAACTTACAGACGGCAATTGTGTTGATTGGGGACGAGGAAATTCACCTGGTTGCAATGCCGAGCAAGCAAAAGAACTTTCCGTGCTTTTGGTGTTTTGCAGTGCCCTGCGGCCTATATCTATCCTGTCTAGGAATGCTAAATCTCAGGTGTCTTTCAATTGTTTTTGATCTAGACGAGACACTTATTGTGGCAAACACTATGAAATCTTTTGAGGATAGAATTGAAGCTCTTCGACTTTGGATTGGGCGAGAGACAGATCCATTGCGTATATCTGGAATGTCTGCTGAACTCAAGCGGTACATGGATGATCGGTCGCTGTTGAAACAGTATATTGAGCACGATACAGTAAATGATAATGGAAGGATTTTCAAGGTGCAGCTGGAGGAGGTTCCTCCACTAAACGGCAACTGCGAGAAAGTAGTTCGTCCTATAATTAGATTGCAGGACAAGAATATTGTCCTTACTCGCATCAACCCAGAGGTTGTCTCTAATTCTGATGCTATTTATTTACTGGTGTTGCATCAATAATTTTTATCTATTGTTGTTATTGTTTTCCTTTTCCTCCCTTTTTATAGACCTAATTATTAGTCCTGGATTCATTTTGGGCTTTGCATCTCGATTTACCAATTTAATGAGAGAAGAATAGAACCGAGAAATTTTGAGTCTAAAATAATGAATAGTTATCTTGGAAGCAAGCTGAATAGAATACACTTCCAACTCAAATCTCCAAAGGGTTAGAAGAACTATACGAGTCCATAGCCTGGTTTGTCTTTATTTATCAACTTATTTTCTCTTTTGGAATAGAAAAACGTTTATATGTTCCAACCTTAACCATCGCAACCCAACTTAAATAATATGAAGAACATGAAGACATAATCTTTCTTTTTCAATGAAGCGTATGATGTTGTGGTGACTCACAAACCTGTTTTTGATATGGATTCACAGAGATAATGACTGGGATGAGCCTGTTGGCCTATTGTAATGACCTAGGGGATCTTCTATCATTTTAAAGTCATATTTTCATTGCAGATTCGTGATACCAGTGTTCTTGTGAGGTTACGCCCTGCATGGGAAGAATTAAGAAGCTATTTGATTGCTAGGGGTCGTAAGCGATTTGAAGTTTATGTATGTACGATGGCTGAAAGAGATTATGCATTAGAAATGTGGAGGCTTCTTGATCCAGAAGCTCACCTCATTGCAACAAAACAGCTTCTTGATCGTGTTGTTTGTGTTAAATCAGGTAATAATCCTTTTTCCGAACTGGAAGTTACTGATTCTATAGATTGGTGCCTTGGCACATACCAGCAGGATTAGGGTTTTAGATTCACTTATGTTAACGGATTGCTGATGCAAACATCCAAACCCATCTTGTTAAGCAGAAATTTGCAATTGTTTAGGTCTTTGAATTTAAAATATTTTTCAGGCATTGTAAGATCATTCTTTTAATAGCAGGTAAATTGAAAAGTATGCAGTTTTGCTTACATTTCTTTCTTGAGAACTTGAAACCATCAACTTAAATTGGGGGGCTTTGGCAGGTTCTAGGAAATCTTTGCTGAATGTCTTCCAATCCGGTTCATGTCATCCAAAGATGGCCATGGTTATTGATGACCGTTCAAAGGTTTGGGAAGACAAAGACCAACCGCGTGTTCATGTAGTTCCAGCATTTACGCCTTACTATGCTCCTCAAGCAGAGGTATGAAAATGCCGTCCCATTTTTAATATTTTTGAAAAAAGAAATTAAGATAGTGCTTAATGATGTGATATTTCTTTTGAATAGGCAGCAAGTGTGGTCCCTGTTCTTTGTGTGGCAAGGAATGTTGCATGCGATGTCAGGGGTTGTTACTTCAAGTAAGTGTAAATAGCTGGACCAACCTACCTGTACCCAAACACTTGTCTTTATCGTTTTTCGAAGGCTAATCAGATCTAATTATCTTTATACAGAGAATTTGATGAGAGTTTGTTGCGACGGATTCTCGAAATTTCTTATGAAGATGAAGTGGCTGATCTACCTCCTGCTCCTGATGTGAGCAGCTACTTGATGTCAGAGGTATTTGAGATGAAGAATGTCCTCCCTTACCACTAAAGGATTGGTGGATTTTTATTAACTGTTTCACTGATTTATTATTGATAGGAAGCTGGCTTTGTATCCAATGAGAGTGTGAATGCTCCAATTTGTGAAGGAATGAATGGTGTCGAAGTGGAAAGGAGACTCAATCAACCGGTGAGTTTTCCATACATGCTGTTCGACCAAACGTTCCATTTTATTGGTGTAATGAGTAATGAAGATCTTTTTATATAACTCTTAACATTCAGGATGATAAGCATGTAATAGACATGGCCAATAACCCTACTACAAGCCAAACGGATGTTCGAGCAGATACTCCTCAGTTTCCGCCGCCTCTTAATACGAATGTCATTGGACCAAAATCTTTAAGAACCTTACTGCCTTCTCTAAGTATGGTCTTCTATATTCTTACTTTGCCTACCTTTTCTTTTAAAATGAGAAACCAACTTCCATTTTGTCATTCTGTTACTTTCCCATAATTTACTTTTTTAATTTATTTGTATAATTAATTCTGTGGTGGTTTAACATGACTTGGGTCTTTCCAGAGGGTAATATAATTCATTTGTTCCTTCATATTGTTTTTAGAGCCTGGTTTGCTTGGGGCCCCTATCAGACGAGATCTCTCTGCTGATCATGACATGAAGAGAGGACTCCTTGCAATGAAACCTGGTATAGATCTCAGGACACAGAACTTCGGTGATCCCCCAATTCTCTCCAGAATGCCCGGACAATTACCACCATGCGGATTACAGGTTCAAGGAAGTTCATTAGTGGATGATGACTCCAGTAAAGGACCTCAAAATAGTCGATCTTCAGGACTCGTTCAAGAATCTGATGCTTCAAAAGCTGATAAACCACGGTCTAGCAACAATTCACAAGGTTTTTCTACTACCAGTTCACATTTTACGTGCCTATGGTGAAGAATGTGGCAATTTTCTCCCTCTGATTTATTTATTTTCGTGGTCTTACCTAACTGAAGTTTTGGCAGGAGTTGCTATATCTCAAAATCGAGCAACTAGCAATAACAAAGAATATCAAACTGAAGCAGGGAAAGTTACCATACCTCCGCCCCCTTCTTTGTACATTGGAGTGCTACAAGATATTGGTCGTAGATGCAGCTCAAAGGTACAGGGTGCCGGTTTTTTATACGGTTTTGCTTCTCACCTCATGTTTCTCAATTCTTACTTTGCCTCATTGTACAGGTTGAGTTCAAAACTGTTGTCAGTACCAGCAAGGATTTGCAATTTTCAGTTGAGGTCAGTGAAATATACGGTCTTTAGAGAATTTTCAACTGTACATGAACGAAACTGGTTTTTGCAGCCTTTTGTGTTAAAGAAAAACAATACATATTTTCTGTATCAGAAGAAAAAAATAGATTTTTTTTTTTCCTCCCTAGAGCTTGTGGAATAGGATCGAAATAAGCGGTTGTTTAAACATAGTTAAACAAGTGTTGTTGACCATTCTAATCATGTCAGAATGTGGTAGATTTCATTTTTCTGAATGTTTGGTTCAGGTTTTGTTTACTGGCGAGAAGATTGGTGTTGGATTGGGTAAGACAAGGAAAGATGCTCAACAACAAGCTGCTGAGAATGCGCTTCACAATTTGGCAGGTAAAACTCCTATCATCTAAATTCCTTCTCCACGTGAACACTTGAGATGTCTGGTTTGGAAGATATGAACAATATTGCTCCATGGTTATATATAATTCTGTATCTTTACTGATTACAGATAAGTATGCTGCACATATGAAGCCACTTTTGGGACCCGTGGATACAGATCTCGATAAGCTTTCTATTGGAGCCGAAAATGGATTTTTATGGGACACCATTGCTCCTGCAGTTAACGAATTGCCAAAGGAAGAAGATGTTTCGCATAAAGAGAAGAACTCCGAGGTGCGAATTACTAGTAATAATCCATCAGATAGATGATTTGATTTTTCTGCTTCAAAAACATAGGTGATGCTTGGATAAAGGGTATGTAGGAAAGTAATTTCCAGATGGGGGGTTACTGCCCCAACCTCCTCCCCCTCTCTACTTCATCTCATTGCATCGAGATGGAACGATGACACCGAAACAATGAAGGCAAATTGAGCTGCTTCATGTTTTCCCAATGCTGCTTCCTCTTATGCAAGCCTCTGGAAAATGATTAAAAGGTATGAGCTCGGTGGTCAATCCCCAGTTTCTACCCCTTATCCAAGTACCTCCCATGTAGTTGATTTGATTTTGTAGCTGCACTTTTGTTAGCTTGAGGACCATTCTGAATAAAAATTGATGAGAATACAAGTTTTTTTCTTTTTAACTTAATGGGTCATTTCAGTTCTTCTGCTCCGCAAAATGGCTCTTTAATTTTGTGTGATTACTGACAAACGGTTTCAGGCTTGTGATGAACCTGGGAGTGCCAATTCTGATTCGGCAAATCAGCAGCAGCAGCAGCATGTTCAGAAGCGGCTGAGTTCCCCAAGGTAACGCAGCAAACCTCGTCTTTATTTCATTTGTAACATATTATTAACATTTCCCTTCTGCCTTCTTTTGTTACACCCATTAGTATTTTAGGCGACTTCTATTCTCGTAGCCATTTGCTTTTAGATTGCTATGGTAAATGTGTTTGTAAAGGAGCACGATTTTGAAAAACTGAACCCAATATTATAAAAGGATTATATGAGAGATCTCATATCGGGTGAGGATGGTAACGAAGCATTCTCTATTAGGGTGTAGAAACTTCTCCCTAGCAAGTCCGGAAGGAAAAGTTCAAAGAGGACAATATCTGCTAGCGGTGGATTTGGGCTGTTACAAATGGTATTAGAGCGAAACACCGGACAGTGTGCCATTGAGGATGCTGGGTCGGATTATAAGATTCCACTACAAACCCTCTTGTAATTTGGGGTGGTTCCTATATATATATATTCTTACCATATTATTTTACAATTTGTTCAGATCATTTCCAAGTAAACGATCAAAGGAAGATGAAGTACATGGGCCACAATATCTTGCAGCAGCTTCGTGGCAGCAGCAGAAGAATGGCCATTCCATTACTTGAATAATAATAGTAAAATAATAAAATAATAATAATAGTGATCCCACAAAATGTTAGTTTTGCAGACGAATTTTGTAACCCAGCGGGAGCTCTTCCTTTTTTTTTTTTTTTTTTTTTTTTTTTTTTTAAAAA